CACTCATTCCCAAGTTCTAGCTCCTTATTTCCAAGACACTCTAGCCAGGGCAACAGAGTGAGATTCTGTCTCAAAAAAAAAAAAAAAAAAAGAAGTATATTTAAAATAAATGTCATTAAAATATATATATTTCCCATTTAAAACATGTTCTTTGGATGCTTACAGAACTTACAAGATTTTATAGAATGACTTACCAAAAGTTGTTCCACCAGCTTCTTCACATTCTGCCCCATTTCTGGGGACTGTGATCCACTACATGCTAGTTTTATTAACATTGCAAGGAAGTTCTTACATTTTTTCACATTTTCTAGCATTGTCTACATATGGAAATATAAATGGAAACAAACACTCACAAATGTTAGTGAGGAAACAGAATTCAAGATTTGTAAGGAACTGTATTTATATGAGGTGCAAGTGAGAACTTACCGGAGAAAGATCAGTCTGAGCAGCTGCTGATATCTCTGCTTTGAGATTGGGCTCATTTGAGGGGGTGGATGATGCTCCCAAATTTGAAGGCTTCAAGGTAGTTACGGTATTCGACGGTTTTACAGGAGTAACTGTGACAACACTGGCTGGCACAGCCGCAGACTGAAATTAAAAGTAATATATATTTAGACATGCATTCCTATGACACGTTAGCGGGTGCCTCATTTCACACTTAAAATACTACAAATTTATTTTGACATCTTTGTTTTTGTGTTATACTCTACTAGCCTAAAGCAATGTAACATATTTATAGGAACCGTAGGCTCTAGCAGATTTGGGTTTTATTTTCACTTATCTACCTACTATTTTATTGCCACCTACCAAGTGTTGATGGCAGGCAAGTTATTAATCCTGCTAATCCTCTGATTCCTGTCTGTAAAAAACAAGGATTAACAGTAACTACTTGTCCTAGGGTTGTTCGTGAAAAACAGTGGCAAGCATATACATCCTCAAAAAATATTATTAATATGTCTCTGAAAAGTATTTGAAATAGCAAGTCTGTATATGAAAATACAGAATATTCTTTTTCTTAATTATAAAGCAGAGCAATATACTGATTATCTTATATTCCGGTAAACTGCTTTTATGTAGACCATTAGAGTAAGCATAAAGAATATAAGGGAGGTGCAGTGTCTCACGTCTATAATCCTAGCACTCTGGGAGGCCAAGGCAGGAGGATCGTTTGAGGTCAGTAGTTCGAGATCAGCAAGAGCAAAAGTAAGACCCTGTCTCTACAAAAAAATAGAAAAATTAGCTGGACACAGTGGCGTGCACCTGTAGTCTCAGCTACGTGAGAGGCAAGGCAGGAGGATCACTTGAGCCCAGGAGTGTGAGGTTACAGTGAGCCATAATCATGCCACTGCACTCTAGTCTGGGCAACAGAGACCCTGTCTCAAAAAACAAACAAACAACAAACAAAAAAGATTACAAAATGTGATATCTTATTTTCACACTGAAAAACATTTCAGTCTTTTCTTCCACCTTCTATCGAAATGAAGTGTGACTCTAGCACCATCTGCAGGATAAAAAAGCTTTATACAAGAAATCACAAGTCGGGTAGTAATTTAGAGAGCCACATTGATATAAAGCAACAATATTATTTTAAAGACAAATACTGAAAGTTACAGGACATAAGAAAAGTTTGAGGGGACAGGGAAAGAGCAGTATTTACAATTCATACAGAAAACTGAACATCACACCATCACTTTAATTTAAATGCTTGTGTTCTACAGGCATAAAGATCACCTTCGAAAAAATTTCCCTCTGTAACAGTCAAGACAGGTGAATTTGAATGTACACCCAAATTTCCCACTTTACAAAGACTGGAGCATATATATTATATAAGAATGTTTTGAGGGTAAAAATGGGAAGAAAAGTAAAAATACTAGGGACTGACAGGAGAAGGGTGGGGATACAAGGTGGGTTTGGAGCATATGGGCCTTCATTTTACTATTATTTTTCTCAACTTGTATGTGTACATACTACATATAATCTTGCTTATATGTACTAAATATATTTCATAATAAAAATGTTAGCTACCAAATGGTAACAAATTTGAAACAAAGATCAAAAGAATACATTTCTAGAAAAATATGAAATGACAAAATTGGCACAAGAAGATATAGAGACTGGAATAGACAAATTAAAGAAACTAAAACAATAATCAAAGAGACCTCCCTCCCCCAAATCTCCAGTCTCAGATACTTTCCATGTGATTTTTCCTCACTTTTGCATAATTCTTGTCTTATAAAAGATGTTCCAAAAAAAAAGATTAGGAAAAGATGTACAATTCATTTTGAGACAGTCTATAACTTATATTTCAAACTGAATAAGAACATTAGAAGGAAAATCAATTAAAGGCTCGCTTGGCAAGAATTTTAATAAAATTTAAAATATACTGATTAATGATGAGGACGAGAACTAATGATGAAATGCTGAGCAAAAGAGGTAAAATTTAAAATTACACCGAAATTAGTACAATTTTATTAACTACAGATAGAGCCCTACAGGCAACAAAACAAAGTCCTTCCTTTTCAAAGCTTTAGTTCTACTCTCCAGAGACAACTGCCATGCAGTTTCTTCTGAATCCTTCTGGAAATTTTCTAATAAACATTTAGGTTTATATACAGTAAATAAGACTTTTTCTCCAGTGAATCTATCTTATAACCAGTCATTATCTCTCTGTACTACTATATTAAGAAAGTATAATCTAGAATTTTAGCTGGTGATTATGATTTCCTTTAAGGACTGATGGGGCAAGTTCCTCAGGGGAGTACTGTTCTCCTCCCTTGTGAAGCAAAATAAGATCCAATGAAATGTGAGTTTAGGAAAAGTGGTCCTATTGTTTCTGAGTAGGAGAGAGAAGGAGCATTTATGGCATTCTACTTTTCTTATCAATCTTTTATCCTGTTTCCAATACAAAAATCTGTCCTTCAAAGTGCTTTGTAACATACCTACTGCCTGTATCTTACCAGATACATCCACACCTTCCATGCCACTTCCACCCCTTTAGAGGCATAGACAGGTATATAATCTGGGTCTTACTCTATCTCTTTAGTACCATTTCAGTGTTGGATGGATCCTCTTAAACTCAATGGTAACTGACTTTGACTTGATACTCTAGACCAGTGATGGTACTTCCATGCTCTGCAAGGCTGACTCAGCATTAGTGCTGACTAGGCATGTCTTGGGGACAGGAGAGAAAACAGCTGGAGTACATGTGAAATAAATGGGTGAAAATCATACACAAAGCCAGTAAAATGAATTGTATGAAAATTTAGCAGATGAAACTGCATTTCAAGGAGAGTTATTTTCTGTATCTGTCTAAAAGAACAATCGCTTAGGTCCATTTATATTTAATTAGAAATAAGAGTTCTAAATCAAATCATTTGCATATTAGATTCCAATATAACAAGAGGCCAAACTCTACCTTCATCATCAAATATAACATAAAAGTGAACTCAAAGATTTCAAATGAGTTCTTGTTTTATATTTACCAGACTGAGTCATGTTCCAAGTTGTTTCAAACAAATAGATATCTACTAGTAGGAAAATACTTTCAAAATTTCTTAATACACACATGTGCCTTTATAGTCAAACAATCAAGTACAAGGAGTTTTTATCTTCACTCATTCCCAAGTTCTAGCTCCTTATTTCCAAGAAGTGCCTAAAACTGAGATGTTTTACCCCTCAGAGTGGACAGATATTAACTTCATTCTTTGATAATTTCTATTGCTCTAAAGTACCACTGAGGAGCAACCCAGTTCAAAATACGTATCAATCAATGGGTATGGTGGCACACGCCTGTAGTCTCAGCTACTCGGGAGGGTGAGGTGGGAGGATCGCTCAAGCCCAGGAGTTTGAGGCTACAATGAGCTATGACCGTACCATTGCACTGTAGCCTAGGCAACAGACACCCCATCTCAAAAGGGAAAAAACACACCAATGTAAATTATGACAAACAGTCCACACGGAAATATCAATGATACACATATATATGGAAAAATAATCCAAGGAAAAACTACACAACCCAGATATACCATTTTAGAACTGTATGTACTAAATATTTTTGAAGTAGAAATATGCAACTTTTTTATTCATATATTAAATAACAAGATTGGTAGTAAAGCTAATAAGTACTATAATTCCAGTATGGTAATTAGCATGAATGAACACTTTAAGATAACTATCACATGAGGAAATATAAAAATATCAATGATTTCTACTGTGACAGTCATATACATACTAATATGATGTACTTCTTAGTTCTTAGTTCTTAGTACTTCTTAGTTCCATGGTCTGGAGCCTACATTCACAGCTGAAAGAAATTCTAAGTTTTACTTTGAGCTTAGTAAAGATTTCCTCCCTCATCTGAATTCACAGACTCCAGGTTAAGAATTCCTGGTTTGTGCTCGCTTTGGCAGCACATATACTAAAATTGAAATGATACAGAGGAAATGAGCATGGCCCCTGAGCAAGGATGAGACATAAATTTGTGACGCGTTCCACATTAAAAAAAATAAAAAAAAAGAACTCCTGGTTATCCCTTTTATAAAAACTGCAAATATAATTAGTGTTCACCAACTGTGATTACTAATTAAATGAACGCAAGCTTTCACTTTCTAGAACTATTAAGACTTCAATGAATATTCAGAGAGCAAAGAAATGAAGCTGTGGCTACAGCTGACAAGGGAAAGATTAAAGCCCATGGATGTGGAGAATCTTTGAAACACTCTGAGAAGTAATGTCCAAGAAATTCACTTTACCACTAAACTGGCTCCCAGAAAGATCCCAAAGAAGGATGAGTGTAGTGGAGTTCCTTCAGTTACCCCAGTACAATGTAAATTGCTCTCTGTGTCCCGAAAACCCATAATGTACAAATGGCAATCTTAAGCATCCAAGATCACATTGCTAAGTATGTTCTCTCTGTAATATATTTTTTTAACCCGTGGCATTAGATATGTACTACATCTTTAAGAAATACTACCAATGAAATAACTGATATACTCAAAGCATTGCTTGTCTAAATAGTTAAACCCCTCCATAAAATATGATGGTAGGTATTAATAGGCCTAAATCCATACTCTTTGGCCCAAAAATCTCCTTAGAATTTATCCTAAGGAAGAAAAAAAAAAAAACTTAAAGAGTTTGAGATAGTTAGTACAGAGGTCATTAAGAACAGAGTTCCCAAAGTTAAATAAAGAAAGCTACGCTCAAATACCCACTTTTCCACATATTAGCAAGTTTCTTAACCTCTCCAAATCTATTTTCACATATAAAATGAAAATAATACTTCCTTATAGGCTGTGCATAGTGGCTCATGCCTGTAATCCTGGCACTCTGGGAGGCCAAGCAAGGCGGGAGGATTGCTTGAGCTCTGCAGTTCAAGACCAGCTCGTGCAAGAGAGAGAACTTGTCTCTAAAAAATTGAAAAATTAGCCAGGTGTGGTGGTGTGCACCTGTAGTTCCAGCAACTTGGGAGGTTCAGGCAAGAGGATTGCTTAAGCCCAGGAGTTTGAGATTGCAGTGAGCTATGATGACGCCACTGCACTCTACCCAGGCTGACAGAGTAAGACTCTGTTTCAAAAATAAAACAAAATAAAATAAAATAAAATACTTCCTTATAGAGTAGTCACAAGGATGAAATTAGATGATGGATGTAAGGCCCCTAAAAAATTGTCAAGCACATTAAGTGCTCAATAAATGGTAGACATTATTAGAAAACATTATGTCTAAAATCATAGGCGGAGCGCAATGGCTCACGCCTGTAATCCTAGCACTCTGGGAGGCCGAGGTGGGTGGATCGTTTGAGCTCAGGAGTTCAAGACCAGCCTGAGCAAGAGTGAGACCCCGTCTCTACTAAAAATAGAAAGAAATTAACCAGACAACTAAAAATAGAATAAATTAGCCAGGTATGGTGGCATGTGCCTGTAGTCCCAGCTACTTGGGAGGCTGAGGCAGGAGGATCGCTTGAGCCCAGGAGTTTGAGGTTGCTGTGAGCTAGGCCAACACCATGGCGCTCTAGCTCAGGCAAAAAAGTGAGACTCTGTCTCAAAAAAAAAAAAAAAATCAGATTCACTGCTCATCTGTGAGCTAACTTAATCTGCTAGAGGAAAAGAATGTGAGCAGTATGGTTAAATAAATTTTGGAATACCAAAAGAGGGTCTGATCTACTACCATAAGATTCTACAAAGCATGCTTAAAGACATACCCTCTTTATGGTAAAGGAAGGGCAACAGTGGTCCTGGGACCACAGGATCTACTGGTTGTATCATACATGGCATGACTCAGAAGTTGCTGGCCTGTTAAAGTATTAGAACAGCCTGCAGAAGGGATGAGTGAAGTGCAAACTCAGAGGCAGTACTTACTCTATAAGGATGGAATTCCATTCTTCAAGACTGAGTATATTGAACCAAATCAAAAACTTCTACATGATACTATGTCCCCAATAAGACCAAAACATAGATCAAGGAATCAAGGAAAAGCATGAATGGCCCCACATACCATCACTCCCAAAGACTCACTGGAGAACTCTGTGCTTCCCATTTCTGCCTATAGGGAATACACTTCCGTCAAACCACAGTGTCTATAAACTAGACACTATGGTTGCCACCTGGGCACTTCTGGTTCCTTATGTCTAGGGACCAGCAGCAAGGAGAACAGTCATGTTGGGAGGCATAATTGATGCTGATTATCTGGAGGAGGTAGGGTTGCTATTATACAATGGAGGCAAAGAGGAACGAATATGTGCGGTAAATCCAGGTGATTCATTTAAATGCCCCCTGGTATTTCCTTGCCCAATTGTGATGATAAATGCACAAGTGCAGCAACCCTGGCCTCAAAAAAGCATGGTGATCAGGATCTCAGATCTCTCAGGGATGACAGTCTGGTCATGTTACCAGTTTAGCTACCAAGACCAGTATAGTCGGTAGTTGAGGGTAAAGGGAATCTAGAACGGATAGTGGAGGAAGGAGATGATTAGTATCAGCTGCAACTCGAGACCAGCTGTAGCAGTAGGGACTGTAGTTCATCCTATTAACCTCCTCTTCATTGTTTCCCCAAGGAAGAAACCCATTAGAATCCCAGAACAGTGATCTTCAACATGTATGAGGAAGGAGATCCAAGTGATGCAAGGAGTAGACTGTGAACCATCACAAGGAGAGATCTGGATTGTCCTAGCTAGCTACTGGGAATGCTATTAGACAGCCTCCAACTGTCAGTTCCATCAGGTTTCCTTCAGCTGCAGAGAATCACCTTGCCCCAAAGTATAACTTTCCCGGGAGAGACCATATCCAATGACTGATCTCAGAGTGAGAACTCACGCCCAACCGACCCCCTGGCCCACAGTGGAACAATGCTGACAAACCATATATGCTCCAGAGTTCTCTACCGTGTCAGTTGAGGCTTTATTTGACCTGCATATAATTCAAATGCTTACTCTTTCCCTTCCACAGACACTGATCCCTAAATATCTCATGCACAAAATTCTATCTCAGCACTGCAACACATGGCTGTTAGATGGATTTGTATTAATTTAAAACATTTAAGTAAAACTGACATTCCAAGAATATATACCATATTTATCTCGTTTCCCATACCCCCAACAGTTCCCAATTTGATAAGTGTCATCATTTATCACTGAATTGCTCTTTTCAATGTCCCATAGTCAGCAACTTATACATCTGGCAGGAAATAGCTAAATAATAAATAAAGATGGGAATAACCAGTGCACAATGGCTTCAAGTCACAACTTACTTGTACTGAGGAAGGCTTCGCAACAGTGGTTACCACAGTAGTTCCTATTTGCGCCAATTTTTTAACAGGTGCCACTGCCACTTTCTTGATTGATTGTGAGCTAGAATTCTTGGGGGTGAAGAAGTGAACAAGATAACATAAAGTCATTGACGTTAGTAATTTAAAATCAGTCAGTACTACGGTGACCATTAGAACACTTTACCATACCAAACCTACTTGTTATAACTGGCTTTATATTAATAACAACCTTATGGGTTTTATGCACATTCTATACTATAAACCTAACTGGTCAATGGGCCAGTTGACACTTATTTCCTATTTCTAAGGAGGCAACTGATTCAATAAACACCACATTTATCTGCAACTTCAAATGAAATAAATGTTATAGTATTCAGCATTAAAATCTTGACTCTTCGGTTCATACAGAAAATATATA